CGGCAAAATCAGCGACACAGCGGCTCGGGCTGAGCGGCCAAATCAGCGACACAGCGGCTCGGGCTGAGCGGCCAAATCAGCGACACGCCGGCTCGGGCTGAGCGGCCACGTCAGCGACACGCCGGCTCGGGCTGAGCGGCAAAATCAGCGACACAGTGGCTCGGGCTGAGCGGCCACGTCTGCGACACGCCGGCTCGGGCTGAGCGGCCACGTCAGCGACACGCCGGCTCGGGCTGAGCGGCCAAATCAGCGACGCAGCGGCTCGGGCTGAGCGGCAAAATCAGCGACACAGCGGCTCGGGCTGAGCGGCCAAATCAGCGACACAGCGGCTCGGGCTGAGCGGCCAAATCAGCGACACGCCGGCTCGGGCTGAGCGGCCAAATCAGCGACACAGCGGCTCGGGCTGAGCGGCCACGTCAGCGACACGCCGGCTCGGGCTGAGCGGCCACGTCAGCGACACACCGGCTCGGACCAGGCAAAGCCTGGATGTGCTGCTTCCCTTTAGGGCTCTGAGCCTCCATTCAGGCCATCTCATTATGCCAGTGATGGGGACCTGCATTCTCTGTAAAAAAAAAAAAAAAAATCCACCCCCGGGGGATTGCTGAAGTGGCTCGGTCCGTGCCTCCTCTGCCTTCAAGGACTTACCAGAGTAACATCTGTCCATTTGTCCACATTTGAGATTCAGACAAAGAGTACGACATTGTCAGCTCCTAAGCCCTACTTTACTCATTTTATATGAAACTGATTTAGAGACAAATAACACACACCTTGGTATACAGACCAAACGCCGGAGCTTAAGCAAGCCACATGTGAGCAGGAATGTAAGTGGTGCATCGCTAAGCTAGTGGTGTTCCAGATTAGGTGGAAAGAAAGTGTTCTAACATACAGACATGCCCTGTCTAGGCCCGAGACCACATACCTCCCCAGGCTGAGAGAAAATAACAAAAACAATCCCAGATTCCTATATGACGCTGTGTCACATTTGACAAGGAATCATGCTGAGCTGCTGATTGTCTTCAGTCACTGGTGACATGGCACATTTCTTACCATTGCATCCGAATAAAAATGAAAATAGGTTTGAATAAATATTATAGTGACGCCGAAGGCACAGCAGTCTATTGCTGTCCAACTGTAAATCATAACGCCGCTTCATGGAAAAATAATTTAACTGAGCTGAAATACTGATTGGGGGTGTTTGGGACAACCCTGTTTACCTACACAAAGAAAATCTATTCATCATCTGGAATATATGTGAATTTCTTATGGGGATTTATTTAAGTAAGAGCTAACTAAGTATACTTATGAAATATTTTCTTGGTGAACAAATAGATCCTATTCCTGGGTTATTACCTTGTAGGCCCTTTAAGTTAATTAGCTGGGTTGGAGGGCTGTCACTTTTGGTCACCTGACCTGGTCATTAGCCCCCTTTCTAGCCATTGCCCCTAGATGAACGGATTACTTCATCGTGTTTTTCCTCAAAAGCATCTTGCTGCACTACCCTTGACCTGGAACTATAATTGCAGCCATGTTGCTGATTTATTGACTTTCAGCAAATAGAAGCAAAACTCATATAGCCTGTACCCCAGGGCTCGTTTAGGGGTTAGAATCAGACTGCGGGATCACTCCGCACTCTGTACTGCCACCATCCAATATCCGCCCGGGGATGATTTTACTTCTTTTTTATTACCAAAAAGGAAATAATTACCTGACCATCTGGGTTAGTGGTACCTTGTAAAACAGCAAGAGCTGGCGATAAATCAAACTCCAATTTACTTTCACAGGCCATTAATACAGTTATTGTTTTGTGAAGTTTTGCTGAAAATTTTTGTGTCTGTTTTTTGCAAACTAATTTCCCCCATGAAGCTAGTTAGGGTCTCCCCAAATTCACACGACACTGACTTCACAAAGTTTAACAGCAGCAGCCGGATTAGGCCAAGGCCTGAGATTCACAGCAAGGTGACGGCAACGTCTGAACCCATTGCCATTCATGTAGTGAATTCATTTGGTATACAAGCACCCAGTGGTAACTGTAGTGGCCTCATCATGGTACAAAGAGGTTTGTTGTAGATGTACTCCAGGGTTATAGGGTCTGCTTTGCATTTGGCTGGTAATCCGTCCAGGGTGCCCCCCAGCCTTGATTTTTAAACTATATTTAATCATATATCTGAACATCTAATGTAAGGTGAACTGGGAAAGATGCTGGTGTCTTGAATTTATTTTGAAGGAAAATTTCATGCTACAAGTGCTTTCTTTCTCAAGTGATTTTTGTTTTACATAAGTGTTGATCAGCTATAAAACGTGTAGAGATATGTAGGGCTCAAGTGGGATTGGCCACCTCTCTGAAAGGTAAACAAACTGCTCCTCTGAAATTTATATATGGCCCTAAGGTTGAACAGTCCACTCCTCCACTGACACAGGAAGTCCTCAAATGATTATAGCTAAGAGCAAATCATGGTGTCATGGTAACTGCTCTTGGATAATCACACCAACTTCACATGCCGAGACCAGGAAGTCTACAATGAAATCAGTGTTAAATGACTTTATTTGGAATAAATACTCTGAGATCAAAACATGAGTAAAAAAAATGATATTTACATGATTTATTTGTGCACAGCTGAGTGGATGTATACACAGTATACAATATAGCTGAGTCAGGACTTGGCTTTTGCAGAATGTGCAAAAGAATATAAGAAACAAAATTTCACAAAGACATCTGTAATACAGCAACCATCTTTTAGATGGAAGACAACAAATAGGACAGCGAGATACAGATGAGGAGCTGGACTGCAGGGCTTCTACAAACTGTACAGATGACAGGAAGGGTTTAGACAGCAGGATATGGGGATGACATTCCTCTCGAAGACATAGCCATAAACTCGGAAACGCAAATCCACATCATATACTGAACAGTGTGTGAATGAACATCTGCGATCCTACATGCTGCTGGAGGCTAGGTGTGTGGCAGAGTGAGAAAACTATTTTTTGCAGTACGATGGCATCGCTGGGACCAGTGTGGATGATGGCTCTTCTGACTAAGGGAGGGGTCCTCTGTAAATCCAGTGACTATTTTTTTTTCCAACAACTCATTTTAAGTTCCAACAAGCAGTTTAAGTACTTCAACTGACTCTTAGTCTGCCTGTCAACCACACAAACACCTGCATGTCTCATTATTGCCTGTGTGTTTTCATGCCTGGTCAGAGGTAGATGTCACATCGCTCCAGCACCATGAATCACGGGGGTCACCCCCCCCTCTTCTTTCTCGCCCCTGTTTCTGCCCCACGGTGCCAGCAGACACATGCACACGTATACAGGAACAGGAAGTGTGTGTCTCTGAGACAGGGGCGGAGCCTCACCAGGGAGGTGGAGCTTAGCAGCGCTGGGCGGTGCAGAAGTCCAGCTCCTGTGGCTTCTTCCTGCCGGTGCACTGTTCACGGTGCAGCAGGCGGCCAGTGTGGGAGATGCAGCGCAGCACGCGCCGTTTGAAGCCTTTGCCACAGCTTCGTGAGCAAGGCGACCACTCTCCCACGTCCCAGGCAGGGCAGGGCTGCCCGCAGGACCGCGTGGCATCAGGCTTCCAGGCCAGGTCGCAGGTGCCTGTTGGCTCAAGGCAGCGAACCAGACGCTTCTGGAGTCCGTTGCCACAGCTGGCGGAGCAGGACCCCCATGGGCCCGCAGACCACGCCTCCAGGGCCTGCTTGTGTGAGGGGGGTGGCTGGTGCCCCCTGCTGCTCAGCACACTGTTCTGTGACAAACTCCAGCCCTCCTTCCTCAGCACCTTGTCCTCCTTGCTCTCCTTGGCCAGATAGAAGGAGTAGCGGACACGGGGTGGTGTCATCTTGCCCACAGAGAGCAGTTCCACGGCCAGTGGCTCACGTAGGGGGCCGATGGCGCGTAAAGTCTCGGCCGTTGCCGCGGTGCCGCTATAGCGCAGCGGGCCCCCCCGCACGGCCACGTCACGCTCACCGGCTGACACCACAAAATTCCCGTTGAGTAGGTAGCGGCCCTGGCTGTCCCGCACTGCCAGGTAGTTGTCGTCATTCACCAGACCCCGGTATCCGCGCTGCCGGATGTCGATGTTGGAGGCACCAACAGGTAGCATCACCACGAGGTTGTACCCATGCCTGGGAAAGAGAGGTCGCATTTTAGCTCGCTGGGGGTCGGAGCTGCGGGAAACATGCTGAGACACAGGACCGATGAGAGGCTCACATGGGTTTAGTGAACAATCCTGACACCTTCCTGCAGCTGCGCCCGTCCCCTCCACACACACCACACTTGTCAAACTTCTTGTCAGAGGCCAGCTGCCCATCACAGCCGGCCTTGACACATCTGCCTTGAACGCAGACAGCCGACAAGCCGGGGGAGCAGGACGTACCGTCCACCACCTGCAATGAGGCAGTGAGGAGGACTCCTTAAGAACGTGTGCAAAGCCTCATCATCCTCTTCATTAACATCTTTATTCTTACAGCTATTGACATGATTAATGTAAAAGTAAATCAGATACATCCCACCCTGCTTCATAGCCTGTTGCTTGACACAGGCTCCAGGCTAACAGTGTGACTCTGCCCTAGATAATTGAGCATGGAAGATGTATGTATGGATATTTATGTATTTTGAGGCTCTGCTTCTATATTCTGCCATCTTTTTGCTTGCTCTGACAGACTTGACTGATGCGAAATGCTAACTGCTAATTAGCCCCAGGTCACCTTGGGTGCGAGGACGTAGAAGTAGCCTGTCCCATTGGCTCTGCAGATAAGCTTGCACTTGTCCTTGGGGGAGACCCCCGAGTACTTGGGGACCCACACCACTGAGGGAGCCAGCCGGTTGGTGTTGAGGTTAATACTGTTGAAGGCCTCACACTGCTCTTCCCGGAAGCTCCTGCCTGTAGAGGGCAGTGCTGTTAGACCCCATAGATTATACTGTCTTACTGAGCATGCCATGTGAAGGTGGTGGGTCCTCCTACCTGTCTCCGGACAGGGCTCCAGGTTGCACAACTGATATTTCACTCGGGTTCCCTGGCAATACTTGCCCCCATTGGCGGGAATAGGATTGTCGCAGTTCCTACTGGCCAACTGGACCCCCCCGCCGCACGTACGGGAACACACGCCGTACACCCCCCACTTGCCCCATTTTCCATCCACCTGTAAATAAAGCAGACCCCACCCCAACAAATGCTTACTGAAACTGAATGCACTAATTGGCTTACAGGTAAAAGGACGGGTAACCCTTCCCCGTGACTCTCACCGGGGCCCTGAAAGCCTCCCGCTCATCAGCACACCCCCCCCGCAGACAGACACCACCGTCGCCGCAGGATGTGCCGTCAGCCCAGGGGAAGTGACGCGTCTGGCAGACAAGCTGGTCTCCGGTGCGGCCAGTGCACCAGAGCCGAGCGCAGTGCTGCGTGTACGGGCAGGGCTGGGAGCCAGCGCCGAAGGCCAGCTCACACTGCCGGCTGAGGCTGTAGCTGGAGCCGGGCCGGCTATCAGGCAGAGCCAATGGCTTCATCGGCACATCCAGCAGGCAGTCGCCTAGGAAAGGGGACCAATGTCAGAGAGTCAGAGAGCAGGAGGACGTGACCCTATGGCTCCCTCTGCACTGGATAACAAGGTCAAATCCCCAAACCATCCACTCTGTTAGGGCCACAGAGATCAGGAGTGCAGGGTGAGGCAAGGCAACCACCCACATGCTGTGAATTTAAGGACCTTCATTCATCAGTCAGCACACCTGATGCTAGAGTTAGCACTCTTAGTGTGATAGTAAGGCTGCTAGATTAGTGAAGAATACCAGCTAAAGTTCATTAAAAATCACCAGTGTGCCCAAAAGTCGGACTCATTGCTGCTGGCCTATAATTAGAATCAGCTACCTGTAATTCAGGCAGGTCCAGCGACTACCCGTAACTCAGATGGGTCCATCAGTTACCCGTAACTCAGATGGGTCCAGCAGCTGCCCATAACTCAGGCAGGTCTATCAGCTACCCGCACCTCAGTTAGGTCCAGCAGGTACCCGTAACTCAGGCAGGTCCATCAGCTACCCG